AGCAATACTGGGAAAACATACTGTAGAGAACAGCCTTGCTGGATGAACAAGATGACCTAACAGGGACTTTCCATGTCTAATGTCTAATCTAGAAAAGTGCCATTTCAAGACTTTTTGTAACGTTTGTTCTCTTAGGAGTAAAAGTAGTAGCTAATATTTCTTTTTCCAAATCATTTCCAGAAACTGCACAATATCTTAACTATTAAAATTTACAATGATGTTTACTAAAACACTGAGTACTACACCATGCAAATAAAATATGCACACCATGCAAATGCTAGGCTCACTCTGGCTTTTTTCCTACAATATGCAGATGTGTGTCGTTAAAATGCCATAGTCATCATTCTACATAAATATATAGCACAAGGTAATTATTAGTTCTCTTGGTGTTAATGGTTTAGGGATGAATAACAATGTGTGCTAAATTAAACAGATCAATGCATCTCTAGGGCAATTTCAATGCTATTATTAATTCTGATTTGAGTTGATGTGGCACAGATAATGAAGGAGGCCTCAGAGGAGATGCTGTGACAACTGACAGTCAAAGCCATATTGGTCTTTTTGCCTGCTAAAGATTTGAGTACAATAACTGGGGACTCTTGTGCGGTGACTGGTGAGATGTGCAGGAAGAGGCAGCAGAGTGTACACTGCACTGGAGGTGGGCTCATCTACCAACGTATCAGAAACAAAACTTGGAAAACTACAGCAGTTGGCCTCAGTTCAGAAAAGACGGGGTGATGTACTGCATGAGGATGTTCTGCTTTGGTGGTGACACTGCCCTGGCAAGTCAGAACTGCTCTACATGACAGGGTTACAGTGGCATAACTATGGTGCTGCAGCTAAGCCCCCGTAACCCTGTGTGTGTAGATACACACTCCAGCAACGGAGGGGGTTCTTCCTTTGCGATAGTGACTCCACCTCCCTGAGCGAGGGTAGTTACATTGACAGAAGCATTCTTCCCTCAACCTAACCACATCTATGCTGGGGCTGCAGGTCGGCATACCGACAGCACTCAGGAGAGTGGACTTGTCACATACCCCTGAGGCCTGTAGCTTTGTCAATCTAAGTTTTAAATATATGACAGGCCCCAGTCACAGTTCGGTATTTAAACCTTACCACAAAAATGAGATGGGCACTTAAAGGGTTAAAATCTTAGGGCGGGATCATTATCACTTTATAAACCCACCATTGAATACTGAGGCTGCAGAGAAACATGGTGGTCACTTTAAAAATAACTCCGAGTACATAACAGTACTCACACAGAAGTGATCAGTACATACTGTACAAAAGAAAACATCAGAGGCCCTTGGGGACCTAGTTATATTTTGTCTAATATATATCTTAAGTTAAAGTCCTCTCTATTTTCCTGGTACTTCCTATGGCCCTGATCTGCAAACATTTAAATATGGGTATAACTTTATTAATGTGAGTAGACTTGAACTAAATTAAATGTTTGCAGGTTGAGGACCCATATTCAAAACTCAACCGAAGTATTCGCAGGGGGTCACCAATTTATCAATACAAATAATCATGATTTTAAATTCTGTTCAAGTTTTATTAACATTTGATGTGATTTAGTTATATCCCAAGTTTGAATCCATTAGTGGTCTAATTTAGGAGAAATTTTCCCAATACCTGGCAACAGACTGTCTTGATGCATGAAACACAATTACCTAAAACCCAACAAAGTGGGGAATGCACTAATACAAACTAATTATTATGATTACCAGAATCTTTAAAAAGATCTACTCAATCATTAGAACCACATGAAAAATGTTTTTGATCATTTACATACACACAACTGTCAAATTAAAAACAGCTGAGGGAGACCCTGCCCTTTACAAAAAGCCGTACTATTTCAGGAAAAATCCTCTCCCCTGAGCAAATATAAAAATACATTTTACAAAAATGCTTGTTTTCCAGCATTTTTATAGTTCATTTAAAAAAGGTCATTTAAAATATAATTCAATTCTTTTATAAAATTGATTGGGAGGTTTTTACTTTTAGGTCAGGCTTATTAACACACTGCCCTTCCAGTAATGAGGTAAATGAGTTCTAGCCTAAATGGCCATAATATGGTAACTGCACAACCAGGAGCCAGTCAAACAGCTTATTTTTGTGACTCACTTTATCAGAGAAAGTGTGTGTTTAAGTATGTGATATTGTATCTACTGGGGTTTACTAGGAAACGTCATATTGGTAGGCATTCTGCCTGAAGCTGCAGGTGGAGGCCAGATCCTAGTGAAAATCTCTCTCTCTCTCTCTCTCTCCACCCACAACTCCAGTTTCCCCCATAAAAAGTCAGAAACTTTAGTCACTATAAAATCAATGAGAGTTGGATTGGGCCCTGCCTGTTTTTAAAAAAAGTCTTCTTAGAAACTTCTGCTCAATTTAAATTTAAAAACCTGTGACACCCATGCATAGATCCTTCTAAGGGGTATCTAAGGGCTACACAAAATCACTCTCACAGCACCATTCTGGTTTTCGACTAAGACACCATCCACAATGAAGCCAGTGTTGACATGGTTTTCCTGATAAATGGAGACTGGAATTTACCTGGCACAGGGAGGCTTAGAAAAGTTTGAGTGCTAGTTATGAATGTTGACATAAGATGGGGTTTACTCCAAGTTAATTTAAATTTAGTAACTGTAGAAATTGAAAAATTGAGAAGATTCATAATTAAAATATATTTGCAAGTTTTTCACTTACAAGCATCACTTTCTTAAGAGTAAGCAAACATGTGCACCGAATGGACCATCATGCCCCAAGGAAGTAACCTGTCTTTGAATTTCTACTCTTCCTCAATGCACATTATGCTGGGACCCTTAGTCCTCCAGCAATGTTGCACCGTGTTACTTTCCCCCGCTGTAAATTTCAGTTAACCATGGAAATTCTTTTTTGAAGGGTTCTTTTGGGCAAAGGGAGAAATTAACAATTTTATGTGTATGATTACCTTTATAATAGAATACAAATGCCCCTCTCTCTGTGCTCTAAGTGCCTTTTTACATGCACCAGAAATGTATTTCTTAAAAAGATGTCCACAAATCAGCAGTCTTACCCCATCCTGTAAAACTTATATTGAGTGACCCCACTTCCCCCTCTCCCCCAAAGCCTGTGGAAAGCAGGTGAAACTTCATGGCATGCTGTAGATCCCAACAGATTCACACTGGTTTGGACCAGTGGTATGCAAGTAAGTACCAATATCAAGTGACCTCTACAGAGAATGCCCTGGCAGCAGCAAGAGAGACTGACTCCAGCTTGAGTGTCTCTGCCGGTCTCAACGATGGTATCACCACACAAGGGAGAGAGGTGGGCTTCTCAGGTAGGTAGGTTCCAAGCCAGCTAAGGCTTTACCAGTCAGACCAAAGAGCTTAAATCCCACTTGGAAATTAGCAGGCAGCCAGTCAAGTGCAGATCACAGAGCACTGTCGTCATGTGCTGGTAACGAAGTGTGGCTGTGTTCTGCACTAGCCTGTTTCTGAATCAATGGAAGGTGTAGCCCCACGCAGAGTCCTCTGCACCAGTATTATCTCAAGGTGGCTAAGGCATGAATCATATGAGCAAGGTCCATTTTTGAACCAAAGGGTTGCAACCTTTTGGTCAGACAGAGCTGGGGAAATGCCATGGATGCTACCTGATCACTGAGCAGTCGGACCAAGGGAATTATGAACCAGGGCTTTGGAGCTGTGCTCCGGCTCCAGGCAAAAACCTGCAGCTCCACTGCTCCGGAGCTGCTCTGCGCTCCAGCTCCGGACTCTGCTCCAAAGCCCTGTTATGAACCTTTACTAATTATTGTCTAAATCCTTCCCAACCTACCTGTAGCCATGTTACCAAACGAGGCTATCGATTACTAGGCAGCTTGAGTAACATGGTTTTTAAAAAATCCCTTTACAAGTTGATTAGGGAAACCATGCAAGTGCTGAGACTCAGAGAAGGCCATCCCTGAAAAAGGAAGAAGCTATCCTACCTTCGCCAAGAGGACAGAAACTACCAATAATGTGAAATGCATTTTCCTAGGAACATCAACACAATAAAGCGTTTTGGAAAAGCGTTATGGGGTCACCAACTTGGTTTTTAGGCTATTGACCATGTTGTGGGTAAGCTTTTCTGTCATTTGACCCCACTTAAACCAATTAGTAGCAGTAAACCCTTAGATTAGACTATACTAATGTGTATTACCTTCCCCCCACCCCCCCCCGAGTTCACCTCTCTCTCTCTTCTTCAGCTGTTTCCAGCAGACTGTGCATGGTTTCTTGCGGGAAAAAACCCCACAGAAATGGCCCTCTGCTATTTGTTCAGAAAACCATAGTATTTTCAACCCAGGAGTGTGATAATTGTCCGCTTGTTATAAGAAAATTTAGCCTGTAATGTCTAAACATACTCACAGGTTTCAGAGTAGCAGCCGTGTTAGTCTGTATCCGCAAAAAGAAAAGGAGGACTTGTGGCACCTTAGAGACTAATCAATTTATTTGAGCATAAGTTTTCGTGAGCTACAGCTCATTTCAACGGATGCATTCATGAGTGCATCCAATGAAGTGAGCTGTAGCTCACAAAAGCTTATGCTCAAATAAATTGGTTAGTCTCTAAGGTGCAGCCAGTCCTCCTGTTCTTTAAACATACTCGAACGCTTCAGGGGTTAGAGTGGCACTGTACCGCACCATGGCAAGAATATACACACGTTCCCCAACTCGAGCAAGCGTTCCGTTCCAGAATGCCTTGTGTAACTCGAATTTTGTGTAAGTCGGAAACATATCTCCGACCATTACGCAAAAAAAACCCAACCCTCCTATTTCTAGCTTACGGAACTTTTTCCTGTAAATGCAGATTTGCGTAAGTCGGGTTTGTGTAACCCGGGGAGTCTGTACTGTATCCTCTAAATAGCAGACAAACGTGAGACACAACCTTTGCAACACATCCCCCTATTAAAAGCCCTCCTCCCCTGGTAAAAGGGAAAGGGAAAAGGTTACTTAAGAAATTAACTTTCACTCTGGGGAGAGAGCCCAACCAAAAATATTTTATTTTAAAGCTGGCCCTGGTGAAAGAATAAATCTGTGCAGTACACTTGCCCTGTGAGAGCCTATAACCAGAAAAAACATGTTTTCAGAACAATAATGAAGTGCTTGATTAGGATTTCACAGAGAACTGATGCTGGGGCAAACAAACACCAACAAACCGTTGTGAACACCAGGTTTCATTTTGTTTTATAGACACTTTTAAAAAAAAATCACAGCAAAATCTATCTTAATAGCTAGAGACTAAATCAACTGATTGGAACATAGTTCAGCCGTTCAGAGTAAGGTCACTGTTATGGGAAGATCAACAGGAGAAGGAAACCTATTCTTTGGAATAATGGTTAAAAATTACAAGATGAGCTGCTGTATTTTTTCTTAAAATTAAACTGAAACAATAAGAACTCCACGAGTCTCATGTGACACTGAGCTGCATGTCTGACTATCAGAATACACAAAGCAATGAAGACTTGTTCTGCCTCCACTTCCACTGGGCCCCCTCTTTTAACACATCAACACTGACAATCCACCATGCACCTTAACCACTGTCGATTCTGCTGTAACGCAATTGTTTCTCTGTCAGAACTGTTGGACAAGTGAGGGAAATGGGGATGCTTTCATTTAAACGTGATTACGGCTGGAGTAGAAGTGGCTCATCGTCCTGGAAGATGAAGCCATAATTAAAAGTACAAAGGGAGAGGAGTTAAAAATGCAAGGGAAGTTGCACAATATGAGGAAGGGAAGCAAAATCTGTGATATCCCTGCAGAGGGCTGTGGATCCTGAAACCACACATCAGAGCACTGTACTAGCAACAAAGGCTCCAACTTCTAAAAAGGCAGAAGGAAATCAAGAGGCTTCTGCCCAGGGGAACTAGAGGGAAAGTGAAACATTAGAAAGAAACATAGGAAAACCATTCTGGAGTAGATGTCAGTGAGCAGCCCATGGATAGCTATCTATCAGCCAGAACTTCTGGCCAGGTACAACCTGTTAAATAAGCTAGATGAAGCTTTCAGTTACAGCTGGCCGGCCATCTTGATGAACCTCATTTTCGGACACCAGCAGATAATGGGGGCACACTGTACTGCCACCTTTACAATTTCAATTTCAGGCCTCAGCTCTCCTTTTCCTCTCCCCCGGCCTGCAAATTTTACACCTGTGTCCCAAACATTTTGACTGAGATGGCTGTCATCAGCTGGGTGTTCAAACAAGCCAGAGTAAAGAAAAAACTTCACCAGCTTTTCAGACGGCTGTGCTGAACAAAACCAAATATCCTTGGTTCAAGTATCCTTTGTTTTTACGGTGGTACAATTTTGAAGTGAACCATTCTTTTACGTTAGCAGCAGGGGAATTCACACCTGAGAAAGCAATTCCAAGTCCCATTCAATCTGTAAGAATAGGTCTCCCTGCTAGCAGCAGTCCCTACATTCTCCAAATCCTGAACAGACCAACGTGAAAGAGAATTCAGACAAACAGGTCTACACAAAAGCAAGGCAAAAGATTCTAACACAACAACTTGAGTTTGCAAGTTCCCATGCCCCCTAACCAGTTATCTCTGATACATCTCTACAATGGGATGGCCTGACAGCAATTACCATAGATTTGCCTTTCACATATTTAATCTTTTTGCAAATGTAATATACCCTGGTTTTCAACAGAGTGGTTGTACACACTTGATAATGATCAACTGACATCACAAGACAGGACTCACCAAAAGTCCAGAGATCGTATTATGATGCCTGAAAGAATGAAGGATTTTTTCACAGTCCTACCAGTTTCAAGGTGAGATGTCATTACAACGTAAGAACTGTTTAATGACAGGTGATTTGTATACGTTTCTCTATGAAGTGTGCAACCAACTCCTCCGCCTGTTCCAGTACAAAAGCACATTGGCAGATAAAGTATTGTACAGCAGCACTGATGTCACAAGCAATGATATAAATCAGTCATTTTGCAGCCAATGCACTTTTGTAATCCATTTAAATTTCAATGCCCTGCTGGGTAAAATTATTAAACTAGAATATATACGACAGATTTTCCCACCACAAGCTATGCTCTATCAGCCTCAGTCTTAACCAACAAATACGGCCGTGCATGGCTTGGAGTTTTACATGTACCTGTACATACATATGTAAATCAAGGTCTTTGTGCATTGAGTCTCCATTTCGCTAAGTTTCATACAATTTCCAAATGTGTGTGTATATAAACATACATACATACATATATATATATATATAAAAATCTGTATTATGCTATTTATATACACACATCAGTATATATATATATATATATATATACACATACACACACACACACTCAAAACTAAAAAAATTATACATACCATATAGATATGATCAGATTTAAATACTGCATGTAGATGGGGAAGGAGAGAGCTGAATATAGTTCCTGTTCAGTCTTCATTGCTTTCTGATCATGATCTGATCATAATTTTGCCCCAGTCTAAAATTATTTTTGAAGGATACAGCTGGGTGCAAATAAATCCATCTTTGGTAGAGAATATGCCTTGCTTCCAACCTTGTGCAACAATTCCTCCCCAGGATACATTGCTTTCCCTATGGAAGGACCAAGATGTATAGCATATGTCCGACGAAGAACACCTCCAATGGTCAAAGTCAGTCCCAATCCGTCATCGTAAACAATGGAAACATCTTAGTTGCAACTGGGAGATTGCACAAAGCATAGCACGGCCTAGGAAAGGGTTAACTCAATTGCCTATCAAGTCATTGTGAACCCTTAAAAGAAAATAACCACGAAAGGTCATCCAAATACAGTACAGCAATCAAATGTCCGGACAGCCACACAACAAGAGCACTAGATTGTAGGAAGAAAGTTCAGATAGCAACGAGGACCAAATGGAAAAACTGCATGCCACATGAACTGGAGACAAAGCAACCTTAATTTATACATACTGTACGTGACTTTAGAAAGCAGGGAGTTCAATATACAGACAACCAGAGTTTTGTGCGTAGCTTACTAATAAAATCATTTGGGTCAGGCAGGGACACCGCCACCTGACAGGTTCTGTGCTAAGTTACAACCTCCAAGATACTAAGGGTGAAAACATATAAAAGCTACTTTCCATCTCAGTCCACTGGCTGATAGGAAGGACAATGCTGTGGAGCCAATGAGGTATAATTCAGAACCTAAACCCCAGAATATGGAGGAATCATTCACTGTCTTAAAAGCAAGAAATCTTGGGCATTTCTACAAGTTTATCTAACTATTTATAAGATACCTAATCACTAATTAGGCACAAGAGACCAAGTTCACTATTGTCTTTTCAGATAGAGTCCCTCCAAATTCACACTGTGCAGTGAAGGTTGGGGCTCACTCCTAACATATTCTGGGCCATTTAGAGCGGCTTATTGGATATGTTTTAAACAAAATTTTAAAGCTTTCACCTGAAGTCAATGCTCAAAGCTAATGAACATGAAACATAAAAGGTTAAAACACACTGCAGACTTGATGCAACTCACCTTATTGCAGTGGCTGAAATGGCATCAAGCCAAGAGAAAGACCAGATTCCTATGGACATTTCCCCTTCTCCTCTCAATGAGATCCCAAGCAGGCTGCACTTAGTCACAGAACTATACCAGCTGGAAATGCAGCCCCTGGAGGCCAAGAAATGCAACTGAGAAGAGATTGTGAACAAGCTATTGGCCTCGCCAGGTACTTAATGGGGCCGACACACCCAACCATGGATTTCAAGTAACTGCTGGAATCAGCTGCAGTTCCGTTGTATTTGGTTAACAACATTTCTGCTTTGACACAGTTAATTTTTTGAGTGCCCAACTTAAGGGATCTTAAAGAGGCCTGATGTTTATAAACTGCTGAACCTCAACTCTCTGAAAATCAGACTCCGCTAAGACGTCTCTAACTGGGCACTCAAAGTTACTAATCATGTAATTGTTTTTGAAAATCTTGCTGTGAAGTGAAACTGGCTTCTGAACAGCCTGGGGAGCAATCAACAGTAAGCGTGAGGCTTCCCTCCCAGCGCAATGCATCTTTCAATTATTTCTTTTCAATTGCATGAAGGAGGGCGAGAGGGCTTCCGGAACAATGGCCGTGGAAAGCATTTGCTTACCAAAGTAACTGCAGTTGGGAGACAACACAGCTGTATCAGCTGCAAGAAATTGCCCCAACAACAACTCGCAAGTACACAGGGCTGCAGAGTGTAATTTCATTTTACTTCCTGTGCTCTGGACTTCATTTCTGATACGCCAATAAAGGCAATCCTCAGTCTACCCTAAGAACAAACCAAAATGTGTATCTTTGGACAAATAAATGAGCGCCTTGTGTTGTGGGCACCTCACTTCCAGATACTGATACCGAGTCGGTCTGTTCTGCTGGGACAAGGGGGAACATTTCATTCTTCACTTTTCTATACCAATATACTTTTAAGAACATTTAATATGCAGCATAATGTACCTCCACATCATGCATTTCAAAATAAAATGTTTAAAAAATCAAACTGAAATACGGGTGGGGTGCTTTGGCTCACAATAACAGATCTGTGTCAGGGCTATTTTTCATACTCACAAGGCGAAGGCCTTCAGATTCGCACAGATAAGAATACAGCTGAAAATAAGTTGTCTATCTATGTGCCAAGCCTCATGCTTTTATTCCAAAGTGAATGATTTTCCAGCTTAGATCTTGGACTAGTAAAATAAGCGTCGTTTCAAATGTGACCAGGCGGGTTTCAACACACAGCTTACACACAAAAGCAAGCCCAGCTCTGTGTCTAAAGCCTACAGGGGTATAGACTGAGCAGAGCTTACGGCAGTCTGCTGTTACAACCCTGAGCCCAGTGCTAAAAGCGTCCCATCTTCTACACCCATATGACCTAGGGCACAAGTCCAGGCTGGGAACAAGCTCATTGCTGAGGCCAGCACAGGCTGGGTACTTCACGCTTATGCAGAGACTCCTTTGTTCCAGGGTCAAGTACACAACCTTACATGACCTTGCTCCCCGGCAGTTCTAGGTGTCGTCCTTTTCTCTGCACTGTTCTACCTCACTGTTCCTGGGAGCAGTGTGCCTCCCCATTCCCCTCCACAACCGTCTAAATGGGGCGTAACAGCAGGAGTCCTGTGCTGGGGCCACATCATTCTCCAATGCTGTCACTAGGTACAAAGTGCAAAAGTGTTGCTGTTCCTGCATCCATTAAAAACTTTAAAAACAGAACAAAAAGATTTCCATATCAATGTGAAAATACATTAGTCTCCAAAAAGCCAGCAAGCACCTGATAACCTGTTTGCGCCACATCAGCTCCTGTCCCTGCGTGGCAGCAGTCCTGGGGTGACTGTCCTCTCAGATGGCAAACACGACATGCTACTGTCTTTGCACGCTCTCCAGCCCAACGTAGGACGACGACATCCATAGGGTTGAGTTTTGATGGCGTGGACGGAAATAACCAGTTGCTAAATGTTCCAAGATCCTGCAGTGAACTGTCACGCCCCAGAAACAGAGCACTGTGCAACTCACTGGAATGCAGAGACAGCCCACTGCTCTAGGCAGTTCAGTGTTACACTAACTCTGCTATCTGGCCTCTGGCTTGGGACACAATGTCATTGTCTTCCCTTTCACCCCCTCCCGCCCCCGCAAAAAAAAATCCCCAGCCCTCCCTGCCTCATCCCATTTAAAGTGTTTGTTTTATCTTTACCTCCTATGAAATGTTTCTGATAAGGCTTTATTGCTATACAAAAGCGGTGCAAATGCTGCCCAAAGACAGCTCCATCAGGAACTTTGGTCACACGACTGCAGGACTTATTGTGCACCGTCCAAGTCCCAGCGTTAGACCTGCTACCTTTCTGAAGAGAAGCTGAATACTGTGTGCAATAACACTAAGAAAATAGGATTGAACCCCGAATAGAAAACAAAAACAAGGGAAGAAGAGGGAGGGGGACAAGATACTAAAATTAGGCAGAAGGCTTCCTTGGGCAGGACTGAGTCACTCCTGTGATGACTAACTGATCAATGCTACATGTAGACAATACAAGTGTCTTCCAGAACAGATTGTTGGTGCAGAAATCGTGTGTCTGGTCCTGAATGCCAGCTCTCTCATCAATGCAGCATTTATTAAAAAATAAAATTAAAATGAAAAAAACTGACAAATTGCATCACCAGGTAGCAGCCTGGCCTGGATCAGACAAGTCCCATTGCATTTGATTCATCAAGCAGGGCCATTTAATGTGGCTTCAGCACATGGCAAGACCTCCTCTTTCCTAAAAGAAAAACAAACAGTATTACAGTAAGCATTAAAGAATTAAGACTGCTGTGCCACCCACCCATCTCCTTTCAACCTTACACTGATCCAGGAATTCACCTGGACAAATCACCTTTTCTGTGACGCTGAAGCCATCCTTCCAGAATATAGTTTTTTCAGTAGCCACAACATTAATAACTTAGCACTTGTGTGGCACGGGACCACCGCATTTTACATATGGAGAACTTGCAGTAAAGGTATCCAAGGCCAACGAAAGAATAAATGTCAAAACAAGGATTAGAAGTCATATGCTCCTGGTTCTCAGGTGTGCACTCGTGTAAAATACACGGGATACTGTACACTCAGATTGGCTGATGGCCGTGCTAATGGAGTAGAACTACTTGAAAACTGGGTTTTCTCCTGTAATACGTCAAACAGCAGCTGAAGGCGGTGTCTAAAATCACCCTTAAGCCATGAACAATATTAATTCATGATGGACGTACACCTTCAGTCAAAGGGGCTGATATTACCTGTACCCTCTCCTCTGACTGCTTCCCCCAACCCACCAGCATCACCCTCACTCTTGCCTGGGCAGAGTCTCAGCCAGCCCCAATCTCAACTAGACACTGGGTGAGGCACTGAATCAGATGAGATAGACGCATGTAGCTGGGTGTCAGCAGCCCACTGCACCCCATGCCTCCTCACTAACTCTCCTGAAAGCTCCACCTACATGTTGAACAGGAGGAGTGACAGAATGGCACCCTATGGCACTCCAGATTTGAGAGCTCTTTGGGAACAGGGGCAACTGCCCGCAACTACCTGTTGAAATCTGAGAGAGAAAAGCATGAAGGCACTAAGTGCAGCCCCTGCCAGGGTATCACCTCTTGATTAACTGTATTGAAGGCATAAAATACCACCAGCATGGGGACTTGGTCTTCATTCACCGCCAGCACATCATCAACCAATGCGACCTAATGAAGTCTTGGTGCTGTAGCCAAATTTATATCCAGATTGATAAGGATCAAGGAGATCAAAGGCATCCAGATACTTGGACAGTTGTCTTATACCAGCCTTCTCCACACGGGAAGATGTGATACTGGACAACAAATTGTCAGTGCGAACTGACGACTTCTTGAGCAGACTACTGCTTCCTTCAAAGCTATGGGCAGCCTGCCCTCTCTAAAAAGATGTATTGACAATCTTCACAGGTAAGGCGACCTGTTACTTCCCAAGTGGCCTTCACCAGACAGGAAAGATGTGGATCCAAAGCACAGGTTGTGGGACAAAGTTTTCCCAACATCTCTGTTAGTTCAGGGAACATCACTGGTTGAAACGCTCTCAGAGAAGATGAGGCCCATGTTCCCTCAAGACCCTGCTCTGCCACCACAGAGGTAGACAGCCCATTGCTAATCTGATCTATGTCCACAAAAGGGCAGACAATTTACTCACAGCTGGTGGAACTCCAACCTGCTAAACAACTGAGACAGTCCAGGTTGGACAGACCACTTACTGCCCAAAACATATTTGATGTCTGAGATTTTTCTTTGCCTCCCACAGAACCACAGCACAAGAATTTAAAGAAAATCTTTAAGCTGCAACTTTTCAGCCCCAGCACAAAACTTCCCTCTTGCCTCATTTGTCAGAGATCAACTGTAACATAGCACAGAATCATAGAATATCAGGGTTGGAAGGGACCCCAGAAGGTCATCTAGTCCAACCCCCTGCTCAAAGCAGGACCCATCCCCAACTAAATCATCCCAGCCAGGGCTTTGTCAAGCCTGACCTTAAAAACCTCTAAGGAAGGAGATTCCACCACCTCCCTAGGTAACACATTCCAGTGTTTCACCACCCTCCTAGTGAAAAAGTTTTTCCTAATATCCAACCGAAACTTCCCCCACTGCAACTTGAGACCATTACTCCTTGTTCTGTCATCTGCTATCACTGAGAACAGTCTAGATCCATCCTCTTTGGAACCCCCTTTCAGGTAGTTGAAAGCAGCTATCAAATCCCCCCTCATTCTTCTCTTCCGCAGACTAAACAATCCCACTTCCCTCAGCCTCTCCTCATAAGTCATGTGTTCCAGTCCCTTAATCATTTTTGTTGCCCTCCGCTGGATGCTTTCCAATTTTTCCAAATCCTTCTTGTAGTGTGGGGCCCAAAACTGGACACAGTACTCCAGATGAGGCCTCACCAATGTCTAACAGAGGGGAACGATCGCGTCCCTCGATCTGCTGGCAATGCCCCTACTTATACAGCCCAAAATGCCTTTGGCCTTCTTGGCAACAAGGGCACACTGTTGACTCATATCCAGCTTCTCATCCACTGTAACCCCTAGGTCCTTTTCTGCAGAACTGCTGCTGAGCCACTCGGTCCCTAGTCTGTAGCAGTGCATGGGATTCTTCCGTCCTAAGTGCAGGACTCTGCACTTGTCCTTGTTGAACCTCATCAGATTTCTTTTGGCCCAATCCTCTAATTTGTCTAGGGCCCTCTGTATCCTATCCCTACCCTCCAGCGTATTTACCACTCCTCCCAGTTTAGTGTCACCTGCAAACTTGCTGAGGGTGCAATCCACACCATCCTCCAGATCACTGATGAAGATATTGAACAAAACCGGCCCGAGGAACGACCCTTGGGGCACACCGCTTGATACCGGCTGCCAACTAGACATGGAGCCATTGATCACTACCCGTTGAGCCCGACAATCTAGCCAACTTTCTATCCACCTTATAGTCCATTCATCCAGCCCATACTTCTTTAACTTGCTGGCAAGAGTACTGTGGGGGACTGTGTCAAAAGCTTTGCTAAAGTCAAGGAACAACACGTCCACTGCTTTCCCCTCATCCACAGAGCCAGTTATCTCATCATAGAAGGCAATTAGCATATCCTATAAGAACAAAGCCAGCAAAGAGGGCACCCAGGGGCCATCTCATCAATCGTGGGGATGAGGTGGGAGGAGAGCATGACAGAGCTCTACCAACCTGTCGAGAGAGTGGTCGGTCGGTGGAACAAGTTTCTCCCCCTCAGAGCCCTCTAGAACATTTCTAGTTCCATGACTCTCCAAGGATAGACCATCTAAACAGGTCCCTTCCCGACAAGACAGATGAGCCCCAACCTCAAAGCACAGGAGGTAATGGTCAGTCTATGACAGATCTGAAGGTCCAGTTGCCTAACCTGCAATCCCAGCCAATGTGTGAGTTGAGACAGTAGCTACCAGGGACAGGCCCATGGTCATCAGGGTGGCCAGGAAATCCTGAGCTGATTATTTATCTACATGCAGACTGAAGTTGCCCATAACACGCTCTGCATTTCCAATGCCACTGTAGTTAGGAATTCAGTTAGCCTGTGAAGTGACTTGGCAGCAAACTCAGGGCAAGTGGTACACTAAAATCAGTCCATCTTACTCCTATCCTGGGACTCTCATACTAAATGGACGTGTCATCAGAGACAGTTTTGGAGAAGACCACCTCCTATGCCTCACGATGGATGCAGTGAGCATGGCCACACCTACTCCCCACTGACTCCTTCCCCGACCTCGATTCATGACATATTAAATACCCAGCTGGGGAGAACTGTAACAAAACTGGCCCAGCAGCAGCAATCAACCAGAGAACGTTAATATACGCAAAGTCAGGGGGTTCGTCTATTATGAAATCACAGATGGTTGATCTATTTTCCAAGTGAGCATTAAGCATCACAAACCAAAGGCTCCTGAAAACTCAGCCTCCCAAGGAGGTGAAACCAAAGAAACAGAAATTAAAACGTCTTGTTCCTGGCTAACACCATCTCCTTACAAGTTTATTACCACCTTGTCTCCCTCTGCTAACTACCACAGGGACCTAGGACTCCAAGTCCCCACAACCATGCCCTTTCCTGGGCCCCCATATTCCTGGGAATGGTAGCATTATTCCACCCTCTCAGCCACTTGACAGTGGCCATTGAAGGGGTCGCAGCTGCATGCCCAAACAGTGACCCTTAGGGCTGGCTACAGAAAAACTTAATAAAAAAGGAAGGAACAAAATGACAACAAACCAAGCTACACACACCCTACCTAACGCAACACCCAACTCACTTTCTTTCATCAAATGACTTCTCTCATACTACAATGCCAACTCTCTACAATACACCCTGATCCCTTGATGGGCTAGCTGGGTGAACAAATGGCAGAAGGGGCATGGGAGAGTCAGGAAGTTAAAAAGAATGTCCTTATGCTGGGGTGGAGAACCAATCTCGCTTGTGTTAGACCCTTCTGCCTGGTACTCTCCTCCTCCAGTCCCAGAGTGTCTTTGCCTTCCGCTTACAATTTATTCTTTCTACAAAGCATTTTGTGATCCTGTGTATTAAGGACACAAACAACAACAAGATGCATCAAAATTAACATAATTCTGAAAGTGCTTTGTCTCTCCACCTAGAAGTGTTCTAACTGCAGCCAAGCACTGCTACATGGGAATCAGGAGTCTGAGAGCAAGGGCCAGGAAGTGCTATAGAGGCTGTGTGCCTGGCCCCGGGGGTGGAGGAAGCGCCTCATTATTGAGGGACAGCTCGCTGGCTGAGACACAGCGCAGAATGCCCCCATGACAGCAGGGCCTTTGAGGATGACAGAACTGGAAATCCCCCCAAGCTACATAAAAAACCCTAAAAAGTGACATTCCAAAGACTTCATAATAAGCACTTCCCTTTACCTCCCTGACTCCCAGTCTCAACCACCAAAACTGTCCTCTACATTTCCTCTCCCACATGATTTCATTTGTTAAAAAAAAAAAAAAAAAAAAAAATCAATAAAGCTGTTAAGGGTCTTTTAAAAAAAAAACTAGACCATTTCCTTATGCAGAGTGAATATTAAACATCAAAACCCTATGATTTATTTTTCATGGCATCAAAGATTTGATAAAATCCATAAGAAACAGTAGCATGGAGAGGCTGAGGGAACTGAGATTGTTTAGTCTGCGGAAGAGAAGAATGAGGGGGGATTTGATAGCTGCTTTCAACTACCTGAAAGAGGATGGATCTAGACTGTTCTCAGTGGTAGCAGATGACAGAACGAGGAGTAATGGTCTCAAGTTGCAGTGGGGGAGGTTTCGGTTGGATATTAGAAAAAACTTTTTCACTAGGAAGGTGGTGAAACACTGGACTGTGTTACCTAGGGAGGTGGTGGAATCTCCTTCCTTAGAAGTTTTTAAGGTCAGGCTTGATAAAGCCCTGGCTGGGATGATTTAGTTGGGGATGGGTCCTGCTTTGAGCAGCGGGTGGGACTAGATGACCTCCTGAGGTCCCTTCCATCCCTGATACTCTATGATTCTATTGTAATAGTCTCAGACACTGTGCTTTCAGCCTCATGTGTCACTAGGCACCCAAGGCAGACCAGCGTGCATTCCACGGTATGCTAGTGCTAAGCTGAGGGATTCAATGGTCTGGTACAGAATAAATTACCTTTTTTGTCTGACCCACGGTGGTTAGAAAACTTCGACCCGCTCACCTGTCTTTTGTTGTGCTTTCTGTGGCAGCCATGCCGGCAGCTGCAGCATTCTGGAGCTCCTCAGAACGCTGGGGCATGCTCCTTAGTGGTTTGGACACCTTTGTCGTTCCCATGTCGGTGATGGTCAGCTTGTCAATAACCAGGCAGTCAGCATCACTGTGTGAGAAGAACTCAAGCTCAAGTCAAACTGGCAACTGAGGGGTGTTAAATTCCAATGGAGAAAAATGGATTCTCCTCCTCGTCTATCAAAATACACCATTCCCACAAGTGGAGTCATGTAATGAATGAATTCAAATGAACAGTAAAATCGAACTGGAATTAAAAGCATTCTACCTATCCTGGAGGCTGTTTCCTAACATCAGGACACTGAAAACACATAAAACCAGTGATTCCCTCGAAGGACGTGTCCAATCAATGCCACAGAAACAAGTCCACGAGCTTCCGTACATTCTCTTTACCTGGGAGGAAGACGCATTAGCACTCTCCTAGATGCAAACGCTACTAATAGCATGTTGTCCTGTGATGGAGAATGGAGAACAAACACTGCCAGCCTGTTAAGTCATCAGCAGAAGGGACCCAACAAATGAGGTGCATTCAAATGAGAACCTTACAGGTTAGCAGGCCAAGATCCCTGCTGGATGAACGAAAATGACTCCCCTATCTAGTGGTTGGAGATTATCCATCACTATTCTCAGGGCTGTGCTCCTGCACCCAGTCAAGGCTGGAAATCCCCAAGCCCAGAGTTCTTAAATGTTAGTTCTAGCAGAGCACATTTCACATGGTCACACAGGCACCCCTTCTGCTCCAACCTACAGCTGGCAAGTGAAGTCACTCCCATGTGTGTTTTTTTAAAAGCTTTATTTAAGAAGTACAGAACCTGGAGCTCTATGGGAAGGAAGATGGACAAGAGGTGATATCTTATGATGGGTAATTTCAGACCACAGTTACAGATAAGTAATTCTCACCCCTGTAAAGATACCTAAGAGAACTGATCCCCACACTTGGAGATTAACAGTTCCAAGGATGTCTCTATAAAACCAAATACAACATAACAAAATGAAAAAAATACAACAAAACAAAATGCAGTAAAGCTGCAGGCCAGGTAAATCTACCTTGGACATTAACACTAAAAACACTTTTCTGAGTGGAGAAATAAGATATTTCTATAAAATTTGGTGTGTTTTGTACTTTAACACAGTGAGATAAAATACCTCTAAAAACAGGCAAGAGGAGTTTAAAATAGAGAGAGCCTAAAAATAAAGGAAGTTTGCTCCAAGTTAGGAGAGTTTGTCTGCCCCTAAACTGGAGACAGCGATTCTGTGACACTGACAGACCAGAGCTCGACTCCGGCCTAAAGGATGTATCTAAGTTACAATGCTTTGGGAACATACCATGCTGACATACACTGTATGACTGTACTGCAGATCTCAAATTATTTAATACGTATATTGCAGTGGTTAGAATCTTGCTGCATCCTACAGAATGGGCTTTGATGTGACAAACCTGTACTGCTGCCAGGTTATTAACATGAGGGAGGCAGGCAGCCAGCCACTTACACCTGCTTCTTTCGGAAACAGGGAAAACAAAGCAAAACTCTGACTACACATCCTGAGGATTTTAGTCTACTCCAGATTAAACCTTAGTGATCTTCTGACATCCAGCTTCTGGAGAAGGGCTTTTCTGCAATGAGCATATAGGCATGGGAGGAAAGATAGCAGGATGAATGACTGATTAAGTAGAAATTCTGTCACCACCTTACGGAGGAATCTAGGATGTGTCCATATCACCATAGTCTGGTGGTTAAAGCATGGCATAGGCAATCTGATTTGGGTTCTATTCCTACCTCTGCCACTACCTTGCTCTGTGGTCTTGGATAATTCACTGTCTCTCTGCCTCAGACTTCCCCAGTTGTAAAAATAGACTTTTATAAGGTGCTTTAAGATCCTCTGAAAGGAGCTAAATACAGTAAATGCAAAATGTTGTACTATCTTAAAAGAATTTGCATGAGATGGATCAGAAACTAACGCCTGTTGTTATTTGTCTTATCAAAGCACCGATTTATGGACAAAGATCCCACTGGGTTAGGCGCTATACAAGCACAGAACAAACAGAAGCTCGATGGACCAAAGAACTTACCGTCTTAGTATAAGACAAGAGATGACAGATGGACACAGAGACAGGGGAGTATAAGGAAACAATGATAGTGTATTGGTCAGCATGATTGGCTGTGGTCTCAGCTCACCAGTGGCCTTACCATTGTCAAGTTGTAACCTTCTAGTAGCCTCATTCTAAGCAACTAGGAAGGGTTGAGATGCTGCCTCAAACACCAGTCTTTCTATTTCTACACTCAGCCACGCTGGTAATGCAAGCGATCACTAATTGGTCTGGTTCAGCATTATCAGATAGGTCAGACACTCACAATGACACTGACCACGCAAAATCCCAGACAGGTTTAAGAATATAATCTGTATGGAAATGTTACAAGCATGTAACACTTCTTTCCCATGAGCCTGGTTAGGACAGAAGTTGCGGAACAGAGCTGTCTGAGCAGTAGACTGAGATGGCATCTCTTAACAATGCAGTCTGTTCCCAGTATAGTCTCAATCACCTGCCTCCTGATCTGAGGCCACTCATGTGAGTCCTCTATCAACAGGCTCAACCTGGTCTGTGATTGTGTCTTCCTTCCCAGGGGATAAGTGGCTAGTTAAGCATGTCTTGTGGGACACTCCGTTTCCATACTTGCAAGGTTTTCTAACATAAGGAAGCATATCCTCCTCTCCTTCTTGTTCATGTAAAATATTATGGCCTAATTGTTCATATGTATTAGGACCAACTTTTGGGATGCTTGTCTCCCAGTTAGGATGGTCCTGAAGATACTGAACATAGAATCTGTCTGCACACATGCCTCATCTCTGCCAGAGCTCATCCGTGATTATTACCTTCGGATCACTGGAATTTGAAAGCCCCCTTTTTTGGGACAGTGGAATAATGCATCCCAAATAATCCCAATAATCTTTTTTGGGATGGTGGAATAATGCAACAATTGATGTGCCAGAGTCTGGAAAAAATGTACTCTGTGACAGACTCCTCTAAGACAGGAGCTGGTGGTTGGAGCCTCTGGGGTGCTGGCAGGAGATGCCGCCTGCCAGAACTAACTTTAAAACTTTGAGTCTGGGGAGTTTTCTGCCTCAGTTACTTGTAGGAGCATGTACTCAAGAGTGGAGATCTGCTACGAAGCTTGTCAGTGTTAATTTGTCACTCACTGAAATGCCTCCCCACCCCCCTTTTAAAAAATCTGTTGTACCACTGTGGTCTGCTTTTCCTGCTCAACTGATGTTTTTTTCTAACTTACATGTTGTCTGTGTCTTTTTAGACTGCCCTGTTCCTCAGGGCAGGCACAATACAATAATAATTAACATAGCAATGGTCTCTCCAGAAAAAGAGGAATTACTTGCAGTAGAACTTCTTCCAAAAGTTATCATCATTTGTTAGGTATCTCCTGTATGTCAGAGTTAGGCAGCTTCCAAAACACCACTGGTTGAAGTTTCAAAGAAACAGATCAGATAGATTGATGGATGCAACGCGCCTCACAGCTCATAAAAAACACTTTTTTAGGTTTACCATTTCCAGCAAAGATCATAATTCAGATCTAAGAGAAGTGGATTGATATATGTGAAAAATAAATAATTGGCACTTATTTAGCACACTTCATCTAGGGATCTACGGCATTTTGAATACAATAGATTAAGCCCCCATCCGTTTTTTTACAGAAAACAGCAGAAATTAAGCCTAATATTTTATAATCAGGGTGCCTCATGTTAGGCTTCTAAATTCCCTGTTTAGCTACCTAAAAAACTGAAATCATGGGATTAAAAAAAAATATATATATATATATATGAAAACCCCATCTACACTTGGAATTAGCCCCAATTGCAAGCCAACAGTGCAAACCCCTAGAATGGACAAATAAAATCATGTTTTGGAGCTTACCCTGGTTTCAAGCAAGTTTTAAAAAACTTTTCAAGACACATGCATTGATTACATGCACATGTTATGTGAGGGGTTTGAAAAATGCACACTGGCTCCCAGCTGCCTTTGGAGAATTTTTTAGAAAGCTTCCATACTGGAAATGTGTCTTTGTCATCTTGTTCTTAGAGTAATTCCTCTCAGAGATTTGCCTTTCGGGAAGCTGTATGAATCCCGCTCTCTCTCTCTGGTGAACAATTTCAAACATAGATTCATAGATTCCAAGGCCAGAAGTGACCACTGTGATCACCTAGTCCGACCTCCTGTATAACACAGGCCAAAGAACTTCCCTAAACTTGTTTCTCAGGGGCAGATCTAGTGCACACCTTGTATTGAGTTTTCATCTTTTACTGTATGTACTTATATAAGGAATAATATACATCATATAGAATTATTTTCAATGAGGTGTCTTTGATACTGTTTGGAGCCAGAAATTTAGCTTTCTTTTCTCTTATACAGCATTCCTGTAGCTTGTGGCTTCCTCACTCTGATAATACAACTGTGTGTTCTGAAAGGGTTATTTCTTCCTCAGCAGTGAACAAGAATAAAAGATTTTAGTTCTCATTTTGCAGTTACTGTAGGTCTCATAAAAGCATCCTGTAATGAAAATGATATATTGTTAAAATGCAGCGCTAGGCTGTCCAGCTAATAAAGAAAGCTCCTTTTGGCAGCTTTACTGTGATGCTTCTGTGCATAGGAAATATTTATCTTTTTATTTCCAAAATGTTTTTCCACAGATTACTGTAAAATATTTTAATGCTGCTAAATCTTTTGTTTCTATTCCTCCCTGCCAACCAGTTCGACTATGTAAACTCAACAATTAACTCTAACCTTCATGAGGATCACTGCAATCAAACAGCTTTGCCCGCCTCATCCTTCCACTGACGAGCTTACTGAGAAGCGCCACGGCTAGCAAAACAAATTTAATTCCCATGGCTTCACTGGGAATTCATACATGCCAGATGGACTCCCACTCATACTACCAGGCCTAGAGAATCCACAAACCACGGCACCTAACGTAGCTTCTCATGATGATGAGCCCATTGATAAAATGCATCTCATTGTCAAAGACCAGTAAAGAAGTCAGTCTGAAATAGTCAATAATCCAAGGGCTTAAAGTATTTCAGGAAAATATGGATTTGATACTAAATAAAGCAACCTTAGAATCCAATTCTCTGAAGCTTACTATTGTGGCTCCAGGGATATACTTTAGTTTTCCTCTAGTCTCTCTTTGGTAAACAGTTAATGAGTATCATAGACATCAAAACATTGTAAAGACAGACTAGGAAGGATGGTGACACTACAAATGGATACACAAAAGTAATATAAACAGCATACCTAAACCATACAAGCCCCATGCTGAGCCCATAAACAAGCCCTTTAAAGCCAAATTCTGCAACAGTCAATCAAGGACAAAACCAAAGGGGGATGCAATGGCAATCATGCTAAATTACATACTTCTCAACAGGCTGTTGAAACTATCTGCTGGCTAGTAATTAAACAAGGTTACAGAACACAGGAGGGCTCAATGAATAGTTCCAGAATTACATAACGCCATTTTATGTTGTAAAAGCCAACAGATACATCAGCACAGAAGATCCAGTCTATGATAATTAATTGCACTAAACTTCCATCTTTGATTAGAAAACATCAATTTTTACAGTGAAATGTGTGACTGCAGCTTGGGCACTGTGCCTTTATTTGTTTTTTACTTTTTAAATGCATGTAAATTGATATTTAACCAATTTCTATAAAAAAGATGGAGATATGTTACATGCCTAATTTTACACAGCATGCTTAGCTTCTGAATAATTCATTTAATGCATTCCAGCAAACGTGCCATGTTAAGGGCATAACTAAATGCTAGCAAGACAACTGATTCGTCTGCTTATTTTTTTCATGCTTTCTCAGAAAAAATGAGAAGTCCACAGGTCATGCAGGATGAAGAATCAGGAGACACAGAAAAGAAAAAATGTATCCCAAAATGGGAGAGCTCAAAACATCCACTGTGACATTCAGTCTGGGAAACTGGGGGGTTATTTTCTCTGCTGCATGTAAGTGGATGCTACACTAGATTCCTTGCTCAACAGCAGCAAAAAGAAAATTGTGAGATAGCCTGGTACCCACTGTTTGGTCATACTGTACAAGTGCCATCAAAGACACACTCCTTTCCAGATCCTTCATGCAATGGAGAGAATGCCAGCTCCATGTCGGAGTTCATGCCCAAAGCAATGGGAACAACCATTTCCAGCTGTTATTTCAGAGCTATTTCAGAAGAAGGAATTTAAGGTTTTCACTGCTGCTAACACGTATGTAAGCTGAACAGTCTCGCCCTAGAACTAAGCTATCACTGAACGCAAAAGAAAGGACTTCCTGCTCTACAGGAGCTCCCTTAATGTAGCCAAAATTTGGAATTTATTAGCATCAGCCCCTTTTTACTTCGGATTTAAAAAAATTACTGCAGTGCTTACTTATGATACACAGCCACTGTACCTAAGGCATTTACTAAATAAGAATGAGCATTATTTAGAGATCAGAAAAAATAGTTTTTATAGATAGCAAACATTATAGTTTAGACTAAATTCCAGCCTCCATTCTAACCCCACTTTTTTTGTTGTTCATTAAAACAACTCCTTTGGGGATAAAATTTTCATACTTAGCCTCAGCTCAGAGTTGACTTTTTCTGGATGGGGGAGACACTAAATCTAAACTGATATGACCACTTTTCAGAACAGCGAGTGTAAAGAAAACATTAGTCCCTAACTTGAAAACATCTAACGCGATAGACTGCAAACTCGGCAACATTTTAGTTGTCACCAAGGAAAGGTAAAAATACCAACCACAACAAAAACAGCAGCCAACTGTGGAGAAAAAGTATTTTAAAAGTTATTAATTTTTTTAAATGCTCATCTAAGCATACACAACAAAATAACTGTCACTTTTTAGTGTGCCTCAGCTTTAAAAGGAGCCACTTAAGTTCATCATGTAAGGGGAACTCAGCAGTGAAACACTTTTTACACCCTTTAAACAACAGGAAAATACAATTCAAAAGCTTATGTTGATAATAATGGTGAAGTTGAAAAATTAATCACATAGAACATGGAAATTCATAAGTCGTTTCCCACAAAAAATAGGTACCACACTGCACATATGTAAAATTCACTTTTGCTGCTTTACTTGTTCAATGTCAAATCTTATTACTGTTTATGTTGTTAATCATATACCATAAATATACAAGATGTGAAACACGGCTGAGTTACCACCACTGAGGGAACCTTAACCTTCTGCTTTCCTGGCTCCTATATTTAATTCTACACAGTTAGCAATGCGTTAACATTAGTTTTTAAGATCTCATGTTCACTTTAAATATAATTTAGAGAAATTCTTTACCTGTCACTATTTCAAATATCTCAATACTGAGTTCTGCTGGTGTCTCTCTGAACAAGGACTTCAATTTCACTGACACTTCCTGCCAGGAAGTCTAGCCTGACAGCACAAGTTTGAGACAAAGGAAATGCAGCTCAGCCGTTGAATGCTTGAGAAAGACAGGAAACCGTCAAAGATGTGTAAAGTGGTAGTATTTATTAGAAAATTATTAAAATAAGCATAAGTGGTCCAAAAATATCTTTAAATACCATTCATCCACAACTTTTAAACCTGCCTGAATCTCAGGAGCATTTAATGCCAGACTGCATTTTCAATGTCTCGTACTATAGTATGTTAGAATGGTGACACCCTGTGTGACTGATAACTATGCTTCATTAGGTTATGACAGGTTAAATGATTTTCTAAAGTGATTTAACTCTTCTTTCAAATTAGACATAATTATTAGGATATCACTTATATTATACTGGAGCTTTCTTTTAATTCCTCATCTAATAAGGAAATAATTACAGCAGAGCCTTGCTAATTTGCACTAAATGACTGGGACACCCAGTGTGAATTGATGAATTATTGAAAATGAGTAAAAACGCAATTTTAAAAAATTAAAGATAATACAGCTCAAAATGTCTTGTGATTTGACAAATGTAATTTAGTTTTTTTTTTACTGATAATACTTTGTAACATACTAGTAAGTGTTTTGCTAAGTTAATTCATTAAAGTCTCAAGTACGGAGACATCACTACAGCACTGTCCTCCCACTTTGATAGCAGATATAACTGATTTGATTAGAACTGTGTGCATTAACAAAGGGCAGTTAACAAGGTGTCACTGTTAAGTCTACTTGAACATAAACCAACCCTTCCCTTACAAAATTTTTAAAACCTATTCCTATTTGCAGAAAGAGCTCGTGAACAGGTGGAATGGCAGAAGCTCAAGGACAAAATGAGATACATGAAACTATCCAAATACTGTAATTATTTTTAAAGGGTTCTTTAACAGGTGTGCTGACTCTGCATGTATGTTTCACAGAGGACTCCACGCACCTTCCAGCCAGGCATTTCAAAGTACTGCTTCTAGGCACACGTTTAACTGATAGTGGAAGAAAAGGAGTACTTGTGGCACCTTAGAGACTAACCAATTTATTTGAGCATGAGCTTTCGTGAGCTACAGCTCACAGTGGAAGAGTGAGTTTTCTAGTGTAATTTGCCAGTTCAATAATACAGCAGCTCTGTTCCCAATCCAGCATCAAGGACTTGGAAATCAGAAGGAAGTAGCTTAATAAGAGACTACTTGTCAGGTGGATGTTTGGAACCCTGAAAATGTCACAATTATACATACCCTCTGACTGAAGGTCTAAATATTCTGAGCAATACCCACAGCAAGATAGAAAGGCAGCAAGAAAGACAGAGATAGGCAGAAAGCAGAGAGGAGAGAAAGAAAAAGAAAACAGTAAAGATTTGTGCAAAAACAGACAAAAGAATTAACTTTGCATTGCTATCCTCGGACAGTTTCCTTCCCTATAAAAATGACAAGGCAAGGGATGTTTAAAGTCTTTTCTAATCATACGCAGTAGTTGAATACTGTGCACTGGAACCTCCATGTAAAACTGTGCCCAATACACACAAAAGATGATGAATCAATACAGCATAAAGAACATCCTGCTCAAAGTTGACACTTAAAATACAAATTCTAGATTATCAAATAGCAAAGTTATGGCAGTAACAGGAAACTTTCTAGTCATCACTAGAGAACGCTACAAGGTCCCTTTGCACATTTTTTCCAATTAATCTACTATGTTAAATTTACTATGGATTTTTCAGGGGGAAAAATTTATCTGCTGACGATAGCTGAAATAGCCTATCACTTGGGTACGACTCTTTAAAACTGCTGCTAAGAATACGGCACACCTGAACCAAAACTGCCATTGGTAACGTTTTGCTGTGCAATGCAAGGAGATGATTAACTCAGGTGCGTCTCAACCATACCATCACGTAAAAAGCCTCAGTGCAGATGCCAGATCCATCAGTGACACAGCTCCAACCTGTGGATTCACAAGAGAATAAGTACCACCAGTCATGACTGCTACCTGTTTGTATTTATTTATTTGGGGTGGAGGGAAGGTCAACAGGAAGCAGAATCCTGGAGATGATTTAAAGAGGTTCCCAGAATTTGGAAAAGGTATAGTGGCAGTAGACTGGAGTAGACATGAGGACACTACACATGGTCCTCTAACAGCGGGGGCTTTTAAGATACTAATAAGCATCGTGATTACACACTCACCAGAACTATTTATTAAACATAGTATCTATCACTATAGTATTGAAGTCTACTGTAGCTCTTTAACACCCTTCTCAATCTTGAAGAAGATTCTGCTCCTCATTGGCAGCTGGCGTTCTACAATGTTGCCCTGTTGTGTTATAATTCTCATGGAGTGACCCTTGACCTCGGGTAGGAAATGGTGGCACGCATTGTAGACTACCTGTAGCTTGAGGACGTTAATGTGAAGAAACAATTCTTGAGGGTCCAAGTGCTGTAAACTTTGCCCTGTGCTGTAAACTTCTGCAGGTGTGCTCCACAACCTAACATGGGGGCGTCCTTGGGGGCTGTCTTGGTGGGAGGTCGATGTGAGGGGGCATCCCAACACATACTCTGTAGGGGTCCTTCAACCAATCAAGAGTGTGGGGACCCCGTGGGGAATGAATGTTTGTTTGGACAGGCTATGTCTATTTGGTGCGTAAAAGATTCGGAGACAGGTTTGAAGGCATCTGGAGTGGAGCCTTGCAAGGGGCATGATAAATGTGCAGGTCACCATATGACCTAAGAGCTGTAGGCAAGACCCCTCTGTGGTCTGAGGGCTCTGCTGTATCATACATATGAGGCTGGACATGGCGTCACACCCGTCTGTGGGTAGGTATTCCCTACTGGTTACTGAGCCCAGCATGGCCTGATTAAGTCTCTATGCTGAATGGGTATTAGGCTGGACGTCTCTGCACTGAGGTGAAGGCCCAGAGAAAGAAACAGAGCTAGAGACTTGTTGGTGTCTGACCTGACTTCAGAGAAGAAGTTGCCCTTGAGAAGCCAGCTGTCCAAGTAGGGGAAGACAACTATTCCCATCTGACAGAGGTGAATAGCAACTACTGAGAGCCATATATAAAGGCTTCAAATTGGTCCCTTTGGTCCTGTGGCAGATGATCAGTAAGTTGAAAGAACTCTGAGTAGATGCTGTAATCATACTTTGCCAGCAAGGCATGATAATTTGACTACCCTAAATTGTAATGCTGCTGAGAAGTAGCTCTCCGCAGGGGTTGCCCGTTCCTATCATTGGGATGAGAACAAAAAATATTCAGAGCCCTTGGGCAGATGATAGTATTTTTTGCCCGCCATCTTGCACACAGGCAGAATGGTGGCCGGTGTCTGCCAGATGTTATGGGCTGGTGACAATAGTGCATCATAAATAGATAGGGCTACACGTATGTCATGGAGGTCGCGGAACTCAAGGATTCCCTGACTTTCCACACGCTCCGTGATATTGGGTGCCCTGCAGCAGCCCAGCCACCACCAGCAGCTGGGGAACCACCCAGCTCCCAGTCACTGGAGGCAGTGGGGGGAGCCCCGGGGGGGGGGGCAGCTCCCTGCAGGGGGCTGGACCCTCCTCCCTCCCCATTTTGTAAGGGATGTTTTTAGTAAAGGTCAGGGACAGGTCATGGGCAATTAACAAAACTTCACGGAAGTCGTGACCTGTCCCTGACTTTTACTAAAAATATCCATGACAAAATCGTAGCCTTATCCATAGGCAGTGCTATCTTGCCTTGTGATGTAGCATGGAGGATATCCATCAGGGAATGTCGGGATTTCTGCACCTGCTCCAGGGGGAGCTGTAAAGTTGCGGTTGCCTTCTTCATCAAGTCCTGAAAAACTTTGAAGTCAGCTGTGTAGAATGGCAGAAGGGTCATGAAGAGGATTTGTTGGCAGAAGGAGTTTCCTCTTTGACTCTTCACTCTTGGTGTTCCAAGAAGCCTTCCCGCAGACGTGGTGCTGAAGAGGATCAAGCGATACTGGAGACTGTGTGAACAGACCTGCATACTCCCATGGCCCTCAGGGGGTGCCGAAGTCAGGGTCAGTGGTTTCTTTGAATCCCTGCATCTGGAGGGCTCCAAAGGTACAGAGAATTTTGTTGAGCGTGTCTGTTTGCTGAGACTTCTCTTTACGTGGGTGGTAGATCTCTTCAGCAGTACTGAGCCTTCAGTGCCAAAAAAAGCAGGACCCTCAGCAGTACCCGGACCAGGATGCAAAGTCTCTTAGACCCTGATCTTTGGGGAGACCCCTCACAGTGCTTCAAGCCCCAATCAAGGGACTGGGATAGCTTCTTCTTAGAGTGTTTGGAGGCCTTTGAAGATGTCCCCTGCTCTTTGCTCCCTGGAGCTGCAGCGTAAGTCGAAGAGGCAGCGGCAGATGTACACGGGAGAATCTATCCTTGCAAGCCTCAGAGATCACGCTCCAAAACAGAGCATTAGTCTACTTCACCTCAGCTTGCAAGATCAGCTTTTAAACCTGATGGAGACCTTGCACTTAGACGGGACGTGGGACTCTCCAAGGCAGCGGGAATTCCTGTCGCTGAGGGGAAATAGCTGTGGCAGGTCTGGCAGGGTTTGAAACCTTGGGTTTGGAGCACAGTCAGACAAGGAATAAATGGCAGCTGAAGAAAGGCCCAGGCTGGGAGCCTTTGCCATGGCCAAACACGGGGACAGGTGAGAGCACAAAAAAAATTGAAAACTTGTGCTAAGGTAGAGAACTAAAATAATAATCAAGGTTACAAAAAGGTAAAATAAGGGGATAAAAACAAAAAAGGTACAAATTATTCAGGCAAATAGTGGACACCACAATATTCTGTCTCCAACCTCAGGTGGCTGAAAAGGAACTGGAGCAGTGGCAGATCTGCCCCTCCCCATATACCCGCTGTCCAGAGCACAAGGATGTGTAGGGCGCAGACTGACAGACACTGCTCAGGAAAAAATCTTTGCGAGAAGGCGCATGAGCACGCACATACAGAATGTGGAGTACCCATAGGGGCATATACTTGAAGAACAAATGTTATGTATTATTACTGCATGTAAGAGTAAAGAGAGAAACTAATCAACCTCAAATTTATTGGAGTCCTCTTTTGATGCTAAAAAGTGCACTGCAAACCTTTTGTTAAAAGAAATGGGATTTTGGTATCCTAAATATCCTTTTGTGCATCTGTTGCACAAACCAAGGAGGGTTAAAATTCATATGGCTGCCACTCTAGTGATCATTAAACAGATCACAGCTGTTATTCCATGAGGGAGTCCTACAAGAAACACAATGACATACAATGCAGGCGGGGAAAATTCTCAGAGATTATCGAAGTTCACTAATGCAAAATACTTCCAGGTCTGTTTCCTCTATTAGTATTTAAAAGCTTTTTTTAATCATCATCATAGTGATGATATCAGAATCATAGAAATGTAGGACTTGAAAGGACTTCAAGAGGTCAACAAGTCAACCTAGACCATTCCTGACTAGTGTTTGGTCCAACCTGATTTCAAAAACCTCCAGCGATGGGGATTCCACATACTTCCTTTGAAGCCTATTTCAGAAGTTAACTACCCTCATAGTTAGAAATATCTAACGTAAGTCCCCTTGCTGCAGATGAAGGCTATTACTTCTTGTCCTACCTTCAGCGGACATGAAGAACAACTGATCAACATTCTCTTTATAACAGGCCTTAACATGTGTGAATACTTATCAGGTCCCCCACCAGTTGTATTTTCTCAAGACTAAACATGCCAGGTTTTTTTTAACCTTTCCTCGTAGGTCAGATTTTCTAAACCTTTGATCATTTTTGTGGCTCTCCTCTGGAATGTCTCCTACTTGTCCACAACCTTCCTGAAATGTGATGCCCAGAATTGGACACAGTACTCCAGCTGAGGCCTCATCAGTGCCAAAACAGAGTGTGACAATTACCTCCCATCTCTTACATATGACACTCTTGTTAATACATTAGAATTATACTAATCTTTTTCGCAACTGCACCCCGTTGTTGACTCATATTCAAATTGTGATCCACTAACTCCCAGATCCTTTTCAGCACTACTACCACCTAGCCAGTTATTTGCCATTGTGAAATGATGCATTTGATTTTTTCTTCCCAACTGTAGTTCTTTGCCCTTGTTTTTACTGAATTTCGTCTTGTTGAATTGAATTTCATCTTACTATACATCTCCTATATATACAGGCCACTTTTCCCTCTCAATTACCGAGAACCATTTCTCCATGTTTTGCAACTCCTTTGGAGGAGATTCGGAAAGACAAAATGTATTGGGTGCATATGGGAAAAAACT